AAGATAATCAGACTGGGAGTTAAGAGCCCTGGTTTTCAGCCCTCACTCTGCTACTAACAACCCTGAGTCACTTGTCCTCATCCCTGAGCCTCAGTTTCCATACCTGTAAGGAGATAACAACCATCTGTCAGGTATGACACCTATGAGGTATAACAGTCTAATAAGAGGTTGAAAAAAGTGTGGAAATAGAGCTTTGGAATTTCTTTTTTTTTTCTGAGACAGAGTCTCGCTCTGTTGCCCAGGCTGGAGTGCAATGGCACGATCTCCGTTCACTGCAACCTCTGCCTCCCAGGTTCAAGTGATTCTCCTGCCTCAGTCTCCCGAGTAGCTGGGATTACAGGTGCCCACTACTATGCCCAGCTAATTTTTGTATTTTTAGTAGAGACAGGGTTTCACCAGGTTGGTCTCAAACTCCTGACCTCAGGTGATCTACCTGCCTCAGTCTCCCACAGTGCTAGGATTACAGGTGTGAGCCACCGCGCCTGGCCCTGGAATTATTTCTATGATATTCTTTGATGAAAAGGCCCTCCCATTCCACCTCCCCTTCTTGAAAGAGATTACCTTTTGTTTGGTCGTACAGAAGAAATCTTTCAAAGAGCTCATGTTGGATGGGAACCTGATCAGTGGAGGTGTAGGGGAGGATGTCTTCATGGCTGACATAGTCCAGGCCTGGCATAGAGATGCAAAAGACAGTGAAACTCATACAGGAGAAGAGAGAAATGGGACTGAGAAGAACATTGTCCCAGTATGTGATAACCCTGGTAACATACCTCTCAGCATCATAATCCCTCCCAGTGGATGACAGGACAACAGAAGCCTCTCCCTGAGACACACCAGACCCCTTCTTGAGAGGCACCATTCAAATGCTAACTACTCACCTGGGATGGCATAGAGGGCCCGGCTGTCATCATGGTTAGCCAAGAAGGTCACAGCTTCTGTCTGAGATCTCTGAGACTAAGGCAAGAAGTGAATCAGGGCTATGTTGGCCACTGTGCAGTCCAAGGCCCTGGGGACCAGGACTGATCTGGGCTCTGTTTGACCTCTTTCCCTCCCTTTGTCCCCAGTGGAATGCAGGGCTTTTCCACGGAGAGGGCCCCCGGGCCCAGCCATCTTGCTTACTTACTATATGTGGGCAGTCACGGGCATCAATCAGCACCTGATAGTAAGTGTGAGTTTTGCCTTTCACCTCCTTAGAGCCATGGCCAGCAGGGTTCTCTGCTCTGTGTGCCAGGAGAAGGAGGCCAAGATCACCCCAGGAGAAATGGAAGCTGTGACTGACTCGGCTCCCTACCCCTCCTGACCTAAATGGGCTGGTCCCTGATCTCAAGGGGCTTTAGCACCAGCTGGACACCTACTGTGCAGCACCTCAGCCCAGCTGCTCCTCACTTGGGGCAAACAATAAGAGCATGGAAGACCACGGCATGGAACCATCGTCTGATGTGTGGATGCCTCTTAAAAGAAGGAGGCCATGCCGAGAAAATCAAATTGCCACCTCAGTCCCCAGGGCCCAGAGTATTCTTGTCTTCTTACATCCCAGGGGCTGTCTGTGATCATTTAATGGAGCTGAACCTTTAATGTATTCTAGGGATGATGTGAGATTGAGGGAAAGACTCCAGCTGAACATCAAGAAATCAAGAAGACTTTTCCCCCAAATGCCCTCTAGGGTACTCATAATGAAAATTAGGAGTGGCTTAGGAAAGCATTCTTGGGAAGCCTAAAAGGACTCTCTGACTATCCCTGAGCACTCAGCACTTTTGCCTCCATGGGTCTTAGTGCCAGAGAGGTACTCTAGGGATGTTTCCAAGGCCCAGGAGGATGCTGTCTTTACCCCTGGTAACCCAAGTACATATGTCTGCCATCTCCTCCTGAGGATACTGTGAGGCACAATGACAGGAAAACTTACTTTTCTGGAGCTGCAGAAGCCACATCCCGGTCATACAGTCTGGCCTGCCAGGGAAACAGGACAACACCTCGGTAGCCAAAAACACTATGAAGGAAAAGCTGGGAGGAAAGAGGGGCCTCCGTGAGTCTGCAGTTCAGCAGATCCATCCAGGTGGGACCCAGACCACAAAGCAGCACAGGTGGAGGCGACTCCAGCGCAAGGTCTTGCTACCTTTTCCCTTGAAGTCTGTGATCAACCAGACCAATGCTGGAACACTCTTATTTCTTCTTTACCTGGCTAACTGTACTCATCCTTAGGTCAATGCTCAAGCCTCCAGAAAGCCTTCCCTGACCTGCCTTCCACTTATCAGCACAATGTCCAGCCACTGGCCATTTGCATATCATTAATTCTCTTCTAGACTATAAACTCCACATTGGCAGGAATCATGTCTACTTTGCTTTCTGATTTAACCCTAATACACAATGCCTGGTCCACTGTAGGCATGCAGAAAAAAAAAAAAAATGTTGAACCAACAAAAAGTCTTCCTTACCTACAATGTCCTAGAAGGGCCTAAACCTATCCCAGTGGACCCAGAACAAAGCTGATGTAGAAAAAGAACCACACACTCAAGAGTTTACCACACTGCAGTCAGTTTTATTACGGCAAAGCATCAAAGGTTTACTTTTCCGAAAGCTTCCTCCACTGGCTTCCCACCATCCACTATGTTGGAGAAATCTTTAGCAACTTGGCCAAACCTCTCTAGGGTCCACACCATCCTTGTCCACACTAACTTGGAAAGAGAACCCAATGACACATCAAGTGTATTCAAATCTAGGAGAACAGAAGCCCCAACTATAAAAATTTGATTCTGGTCTGGCACCAAACATCAAGATACAATGAATAGAAAACCATACCATGTAGGCCTATGACCCAATCTGACTTCTTTCAGAAGCAGAGCACTCTATGAAAATGAAAGACGGGCCAGCCCAATACTTACCTGCCCGGTCTCATATTTTCCATTCTGTTTTGGCACCTCAAACACACCAACTGTCTCCAACACTTTGCCCTCTGGTCGGTTTCTGAGTAGGAAGGAAAAGAACAAGCAACAGAAAAGCTGAGAAGTTAATGGTTACCTATCCATCAGAAAAAGCTCCTGAGGATACTGAGGGGCCAGGGCGATGACAGCAGAGAAGGGTTTGGGGTAGTGGGGACAGCTGGAACAGGAAAGGCTTTCCTCCTCCTTGGTGAAAACCTCCCAGTCTCCCAGTGTTAGATGTGACTGCTCCCATATTACTGCCTTCTCTATCCACATGGCCTTCTTCATATCATGCCCTCACACTCTGCTCAAATGTACCCCTGCTCTTGTTTCTTCCCTAACCTACCCTCTTGACCTCTCATAGCACTTTAACTATCTTGCTCACTTTTTTTTGGAAGGGGAACATCTTTTTTTCTTCTTTCTTACATTTTCTATATCACAAATCATCAAGCAATATCCTGCCCACTTTACATTTCAGTTGTGTCCATGCCTTATCTTTACTAAAGACTGTCAATTCTCTGGGAGCAATAACTGAATCTGATTGGCCGGTACTGCCCCCTTAGGGCCTAGTGTAGAAGAGGGGCTCAAAAAATATTTGTCCTGTATTGTAATTCTATGTCCATCTCCCTCTCTAACCTGGAGCCCTTACATTGCCCTTGAAAAGCTTAATCAGCCGGGCGCGGTGGCTCAAGCCTGTAATCCCAGCACTTTGGGAGGCCGAGGCGGGTGGATCACGAGATCAAGAGATCGAGACCACCCTGGTCAACATGGTGAAACCCCGTCTCTACTAAAACTACAAAAAAAATTAGCTGGGCATGGTGGCGCGTGCCTGTAATCCCAGCTACTCAGGAGGCTGAGGCAGGAGAATTGCCTGAACCCAGGAGGCGGAGGTTGCGGTGAGCCGAGATCGCGCCATTGCACTCCAGCCTGGGTAACAAGAGCGAAACTCCATCTCAAAAAAAAAAAAAAAAAAAAAAAAAAGAAAAGCTTAATCATCTCTAGATTTCCTACTGCACCTAGCAGTCTCTCAATATCGTTTTTGTTCATATTCTCACGGGGGTCTTAAATTGCAAATAGCTATGATCTCTGGCCAATGTCAGTATCTAATATTAGCCACGAAAAACTCAGCACTGTCAGTCACCACTCTGAACAGGGTTGCTCTTTCTAGGAGCACTTCAAATAAAGGTTGTTTCTACTGGTTTTAAGATGTGAACTTTATGCTTCCTCCCACTGATCCCTTAGCCCCTTTGATCCGCCTGTCCCATCCGCGAAGACACTTTCCACACCATCCCCATGGCCTCACACCCCTTTCCCCAAGTCACCTATAGAAAATCGATCTCCCCAGAGTCACTTGGAAAACTGTAGCCTACGAGGGTCCACACCCAAGAGTCTCATTTCCCACCTCTAGCATCTTTCTGAGGGAGACCGTGACCGAATCCGAAGGCTGAGGGTTCAAGCCAAAGCCCTAGGGCTGAATTAAAAAGCTGCCCTCCGATAGCGGTGCTGGGGGGGACCCCAGCAGGGCAGGATTCACTCGGGGAGGGTAACATGTTCCCCCTCAGAGCCAACCCTGCACAACCAGGGCTCTGGGCCGCGTTGGCTTCCCTGCTCCTGGCACATGTCCCAGACAGCGCAGGTCGACTCCCTGCTCGGGACCCTCTCCGGGATCAAACTCCAGTCCCCCTCAGCCGGTCCGGACACCTGGCCTCCGCACTGGCCGGAAACACGCTTCCTGGGCTACAAGCCCCGTCCCCGAGGCCCCTGGCTCCGTCCCTCACCGGGACGAGAGGTGCCTCCGCGTCGTCGTGGTCGCCGCTGGTGAGAAGGCCCCAGTTCCAGCCGCCGCACAGAGCGGCCTCGGCCACCGGGCCCCAGTCAGCGACCGGGACCACCAGCGGCTGCCCACGGCTAGGACCCGCCGGGCTGCACAGGCTGCCATGTCCCGCCCGAGCGCCCGCCGGGATGCTGACACAGACCCCTAACCCACGGCGGGGCGGCGTTCCGCCCCCGCCCCACACTGCCCCGCGCCGCGTCCCCGCCCCCTTGGTCCTCAGCCTTGCCTGGTCCCACCCCGGAACTCAGAGCTACTTCCGGCGCGCGGCAGGTGGAAGTCCCGGTTGGGGTCACCTGACCTGAGAGTCGGCTAGATATGGCGTCTTCTTTGCTAGCGGGCGAGCGGTTGGTATGTGCTTTGAGCCCCGGCGGGGAGCTGGAGCGTGAGTCGCTACCCCGAAAACTGCAGGCGGAACTGGAGGCCGCTCTGGGGAAGAAGCACACGGGCGGTGATAGCTCCAGTGGCCCCCAACGCTTGGTTTCTTTCCGTCTGATCCGGGATCTGCACCAGCACCTGAGAGAAAGGGGTGAGCCCCAATCTCCAGTCCGGGGTCGCCTCCTTGTTTCCAGATCGATTCCTTTCTGAGGTCTTTTCCCGTCACTCCCCTTCCTCCACAGAGCGCTCATCTAGAGAAGCGAAGAGTCACCTCATAAATCTCAGGGCCACCCACTTTCTTCACTCCTGTGGGAATTCCTCGTGGATGACAAATTTGCTTATGCAGTTTCTGCTCTTTTGACAGCCCCCTTCAATTCCAGGCACACCTAGGCCCAATTGACTCTTGGGACAGTCCAGGTTTTTACTAAATACTAATATCACAGATCTCTTCCTTTTTCTCCACATTAAGAATCAGCTCAGCATAGTGAACTTGTAAGAATCCGGATTTCTTTCCACCTCGAAAGCAAGAGTGGCAAAATCTGATAGTTTTGTTTTGTTTTATTTTTGAGATAGGATGGGAAAAGCTGTGTTGAAAGATCTGGCCTGGGAGTATCATGTGAGTTCTAGTCCTAGCTCTGTCACTAATCCCTTGAAGGAGACATTTCTCCTTGCTAGGTCTCAGTTCCCTTATCTGTAAAAGGATGGAATAGGACGAACTGGCACATAAGGGCTTTTGCCAGAATTAACATAGACTAGCCAGAAGTGCAAAGGGTAGATGGCTTAATTGTTACAACTAGAGAGGACCTTAGAAAGAGATTGCTTAGTATCTGTGTCCTCTGAGCATTTAGCATCACTGTGACCTAAACCTATTTAGGGAAGATCTGTGTCACCACAGAAGTGATCTAACCCGAGGGCACAAGTAAATGGCTTACCTGCTAGTTTTAACACTGACAAGATAATTGAGGGCTGATAGCTAAAGTCAGCAGCGCAACACTGAGAGATACCTATATAGAATTATCCTAAATTTGTTTCAATTGAAAATGATCCTGGAAATGAATTAATGTAGAGATGGCCATGTTTTATTTTGGTAGAAAGAAGGGCTAGACCCCTCTTGATCTTAACCCTTCATCCTCAGCTCTGTGGATCACTGTGTTTGTGAAACCTTTTCTTCTCAGATTCCAAACTATACCTCCATGAGCTTCTAGAAGGCAGTGAAATCTATCTCCCAGAAGTTGTGAAGCCTCCACGGGTATGTAAGGGATACATTTGTGAGAATAAATATTGTCTGAGTTGGGCTTATTCATGATACATTGAACTTAAAAATCAACTTTTAGATTTGAAAATTTGTTTTTTAAATCTCTGGGACCTGGGGGAACCAGATATTGTCCTCCCCATTGACTGCATGGAAGATTGAGATCCAAAAAAAAGCAAACAGTTTCAAAGCAGTGGAGTTGTAACTAGTATGTGGGTCTCCTGATACCTTTAGCAGTGCTTTTCCCCCCGGAACCAATGATTGTGATGTGCTTTCTAACAAGCTGGGAATATCATTCTTCTCATTTGATTTTTCTGCTTCAGAACCCAGAACTAGTTGCCCGGCTGGAAAAGATTAAGATACAGCTGGCCAATGAGGAATATAAGCGGATCACCCGCAACGTCACTTGTCAGGTAAGGGCCTGTTCTTCAGCACATGGACTAAGTAGCCCCTCAGAGTAGGACCCTGCACTGGAAGAAGGTACAGAGGATTAAAAAAACATGGAAACTTGGTTTATATACTGTTCAGGGACCACAGAAGCTCTGCATACAAACTAAATACAGTTCCCATCTCACTCACTGAGCCCCGGCGGGGAGCTGGAGCATGAGCATCTACCCCAAAAATTGTGGGCTGAGCTAGAGGCCGTTCTGGGGAAGAAGCACATGGGTGGTGATAGCTCCAGTGGCTCCCAACACTGAGATGGTGACCAATTCTTAAATATCATAAAAGTGGGGCCGGGCGTGGTGGCTCACACCTGTAATCCCAGCATTTTGGGAGGCCAAGGTGGGCAGATCACAAGGTCAGGAGATCAAGACCATCCTGACCAACATAGTGAAACCCCATCCCTAAAAAAAAAAAAGAAGAAGTGGGAATGAGTCAGCTGGGCACAGTGGCTAACACCTATAATCCCAGCACTTTGGGAGGCTGAGGTGGATGGATCATCTAAAGTCAGCTGTTCGTGACCAGCCTGACCAATATGATGAAACCTCGTCTCTACTAAAAATACAAAAATTAGCCTGGCATGATGGCAGGCACCTGTAATCTCAGCTACTAGGGAGGCTGAGGTAGGAGAATTGCATGAACCGGGGAGGCGGGGGTTGCAGTGAGCCGACACTGCACCGTTGCACTCCAGCCTGGGCAAGAAGAGTGAGACTCTGTCTCAAAAAAAAAAAGTGGGAATGAGTCTTGGAGCCTTTCTTCTTCTTCTTCTTTCTTCTTCTTTCTTCTTTCTTCTTCTTTCTTCTTCTTCTTCTCTTTTCCAGATGGAGTCTCACTCTGTCACCCAGACTGGAGGGCAGTGGCAGGATATTTGCTCACTACAAACTCCGCCTCCTGGGTTTAAGCAATTCTCGTGGCTCAGCCTCCCGAGTAGCTGGGATTACAGGCATGTGCCACTACACCACACTAATTTTTAGTAGAGGTAGGGTTTCACCATGTTGGCCAGGCTGGTTTTGAACTCCCAACCTCAGGTGATCCACCTGCCTTGGCCCCCCCAAAGTGCTGGGATTACAAGGTGAGCCACTGCACCCGGCCATTGGAGCCTTTCTTCTGACAGGACCCCCTACTATTCTCTGGCATGCTCCTACCCTGGAACAGGAGAGGAGTAGATGGGTAGTGGCAGCCTATGTCCTCTCTGAAATGCTTGCTCTGTGGTCCAGAAAAGAGTCAAAATGGTTCGAGACAAAAGAATCCATGGAGAAGGCAGAGTTAATGTATTAGGCAATAGAGAGGGCTGAGCCCAGACTGACAAATGGATGCTCTCTGAGCTGCTTCTATTCTGAAATCATCTGCTTTTTCTTTTTCCCAGGATTCAAGGCATGGTGGGACTCTCAGCGACCTGGGAAAGCAAGGTGAGGTACTGAGAGATCAGGCTTCTAAAGCCTTTTCCTGAGATGAGTTATGACACTCAGGCTTGCTGTTTGACTGGAACCCAGTTGGTGGGGGGTGGCAGCCATGAGATAAGAGCACCTCCTAGAGAATGTTGAACTAAAGGTTTCCTCTCTGGCTCCTCCTCAAAGTGAGATCATTGAAGGCTCTGGTCATCACCATCTTCAATTTCATTGTCACGGTGGTAGCTGCCTTCGTCTGCACTTACCTTGGAAGCCAATATATCTTCACAGAAATGGCCTCGGTGAGTAGGCACTTGGGCAGTGCAGGGTGCCCTAGGTAGGGGTGTTAGTGGGTAAGGGAGAACGTATGTGAAGTGCCTTGTACAGGTTAGGTATTGAACAGATATTTATGCTATTAACAAGGGGAGCATTGGAGCTTTCCAGCAGTCGTGGGGGTGTGGGGAGTAGGTAATAACTCCAGAAGAAGCCACATTGTCTTCCCTTCCCCCAACTTAGAGGGGGATTGGGGGCTCTGCATCCTCATTAAAGGTGCTGGGGGTACAGAGCTGGGTATTGGCCTGCATCCCTTAAGCTTGGTTCTGCCCACCTCCAGCGGGTACTAGCTGCATTGATCGTCGCCTCAGTGGTGGGTCTGGCGGAGCTGTATGTCATGGTGCGGGCAATGGAAGGCGAGCTGGGAGAACTGTAACTGTAACTTGGTGCTTCGTCATCAAGCCTGGAGAAGACTCTGGGGGCTCCAGGTTCCCAATTCCCAGTTGCCAACTCAACCCCTCAGACTTTTTGTACTCAGCTCCAGTTATTTAGAGGACCAGCCCAGGCCACCTGCTGTTTCTGTGTGGAGCCCAGTCTTCTGTGAATTTCTAAAGGGAGCAGTGGAGGAGATTGAGATAATATATCTTTAAAACGGAAAAAACTGATCTTGGTCTATCAGTACCTTTTCCTGAATCCGGTACCCACCTGCCTTCTCCAGTCCCATTCTAGACACTGCTGGGATTAGGGTTTTTTCATCAGGGGCAATGAAATCCAGGCCTTGCCAGAAGTAGACCATACTGCCTTGAACTTGTCCATATGTACAAACTGATCACCAGCTTTCTCCAGACGTTTTTAATGCAGACCTGTAATTGAGTTCAGAAGCCTCCAAGAAAACAGGAAAGATCCCCTTTCTCCAGTTTGTGCTGGAAGAGGAACTGATCAGAGGATAGACATCAAATTAAAGAAAGATGGGTTGCTATAGGATGGTGGAACTGGAAGCAAGGCAGCTACCTTTTTGGAAAAGGAAGTGGTATTAGGCCCCTTTTCCATAAGATAAGACAGACTCATAGAGATCAACTGACCAGCTGTGGTCCTTCCTCTGTTACATGGAGCCAAAGATGCCTATGTTTTCCTGAAGTCTTGTAATGTTTAACTTCTGAGAACTTAGTGGTGTGATGATAGAATCTGTATAGTGCACTGAAAAGGATGTCAACCTTAGTTATTTATCCAATAAATATTTATTGTATCCAAGGTATTCTTATTTTAACTCCTGTGACAACAAAGCACAACCATTTCCACAGTTCTAATTGTTCAGGGTCTGATCCTCATGGTAGACTCTTTCTTTTGTTCATTGTATGTACTCCTGTCATTTTTATTTTTCCAAAGCACTTTTCTGTTTTAATAAATTATGTACTCATTAACTCAGTAGACATTTCCTCTACAATGTTTGTGAGTTTCTATTAGTTGGGAAAAGTGTCAACTGTGTGAAGAAAAAGTAGGTGGCATTTTACAGTGTTTCCAGTAACCTGAGCTGTATAAAATTTGTGTTAAAAAGCTACACTGAGGCTGGGCACTGTGGCTCACGCCTATAATCCCAGCACTTTGAAAGGCCGAAGTGGGTGGATCATAAGATCAGGAGTTTGAGACCAGCCTGACCAACATGGTGAAACCCTGTCTCTACTAAAATACAAAAATTAACCATGCATGGTGGTACACACCTCTAATTCCAGCTACTCAGGAGGCTGAGGCAGGAGAATGGCTTGAACCCAGGAGGCGGAGGTTGCAGTGAGCCGACATTGCCCCATTGCACTCCAGCCTGGGTGACAGAGAGACTCCATCTCAAAACAAAACAAAAGCTATACTGGGCCAGGTGAGGTAGCTGATGCCTGTAATCCTAGCATTTTGGGAGGTTGACGTGGGCAGATCACTTGAGGTCAGGAGTTGAAGACCAGCATGGCCAACATAATGAAACCCCATCTCTACTAAAAATACAAAAAAATTAGTCAGGCCTGGTGGTGCATGCATGTAATCCCAGCACTTCGGGAGACCAAGGCAGAAGGATGGCTTGAGCTTAGGAGTTTGAGACCAGCCTGGGCAATGTGGCGAAAGCCCATCTCTACAGAAAAATGCAAAAATTAGCTATAGTCCCAGCTGCTCAGGCAGCTAAGGTGGGAGGATCACTTGAGCCCGGGAGGCAGAGGTTGCAGTAAGCTGAGTCTCCCTGGACGACAGAGTGAGACCTTGTCTCAAAAGAAAAGAGGGATGGGGAATCAGATGCCCTGTCCTCCAGTTCTCAGCATGTAGAAGGGGGGTCTCTCGTCTCCTAGCCACTCCTGCCTCACTATGCCTTGCTTTCTCTAGTGCACGCTGAGTCCAGGGACTGCTTGGCAGGAGGCAGGAAGAACAAGAAGTTTGGGGCCTCCTCAGTTTCTTAGGGCCTGTCTGGAGAGGGAACTAGCATTTACCAAGTTTTTTGCAATATGTCACACACCATGTAAAGGCCTTTACCTACATTATTTCTTATACCTCAAACAGAGAGCAAACAAATATCCCTTTTTTTTAGTCACATAGAGTTCCAGAGTTGCCACGGTTACATAGCAGAGTCAGGATTTGAATCCAGTGCAGACCGCAAACACTATGGTTTTCTCTCCGAAGCAGAGCAGCTCCAGAGGTGGACATAACTGGAGTGTTCTAGACTCAGTGGGACCAGGAGCAGGGGGTGCCAGCAGAGGCTCTCATCTCCGCAGGGTCTGTCAGTCAGAGCCCTAAGACCTTCAATTAACTATCCCTCTAATCCCAGCAGAAGCTTAGGTAATACCTCCCACCAAGTATCTGTGTGGAACCTGGCCCTATTTAGGGATTAGGCGATGGAGATAAATTTCCATGGCAAATGGCCCTTGTCCCCATTCATTTGCAGAGCACAACAATCCAGATTAAGTTACAGAGTTTGGGTTTTATTTGGAGATTAGTTGGTGTTACAGATGATGGTGATACCAAAACCCAATGCTGCTACACCCGCCTGCATCCCAGATCTGTCAGGTTGTCTCCCAGCCCCACGGCAAAGGGCAACCAATCTGATCTTTGTGAAAATTCAATCAACATAAGCCCCAGCCTCCTATCTTTGCTTTATTACTTTAATGTCACTCCCTCTTCAGATTCATAGTTCTGATTAATTTGTCCAGGTGGTCGGCGGTCAGGAGAGGGGGACCTGACCCATAAGAAGGTGGCTTTCCAGCAGTCGAGATTAGGAGCAGCACTCTCCTCTCCTAGCTCACTTAGCAGTTAGCAAGGTAATGGCCTGGAGAGACCTCAGGAGACAGGAGGCTGCCCCTTCAGACAGTGAGAAGAACTGGGGACCAGGCCTGACAAGTGGAGGAAAACGGCCCTCACCTCATCCTTCTGAAGGTACCTCCTGCCACAACGATGGGCATATGCCCCAGAGGGGCCAGGGTGTGGGGTGACGGGAGTCAGACCCCAGTCTGCATAGGACCTGCATCTAGGCTGGCCTGGAGGCCTGTGTAAGGGAGGATGCCTGAGTTAAACTCCCTTCCCATAGGGAACTCCTTTGCGTAAAAGGTGGAGGCAGGGGATCCACTTCCAATGTGTTCAATCCCGGGAGGGGCAGAGTGGGCTACAGGAGTCTGAGGAGGGGTCTTGCAAGTTCTAGACCAAGACCAGGAGTAGTCCACATTGGTGACAATGGCCGAGGCATAGATGAGGTCAGACAGGCTGTGTAGTGACATCTGGGGAGTAGCTTGCTCTAAAGAAGGGTGGACCCCTGAAGCCCCAGCCAGTTCCCATGGGGCTACAGCTTTAGCCCCTTCCCAGGCCTGCCGTGGACCCAAGCTAGGAGCTGGACAGGAGGTGTGTTGACACATTGAGGTGTGCTGAAGTGTGCCACTGGAGGGTGAAGGCCTGGCATTTGGGGATCCCAGGGCAGCTGGAGGGTGTCTGGAAGAGAACAGAAACTCTGGGGGGACTCAGGCCTGGGGCTTAGACTTCCTGACTTCCTGTTCTTGATTATTTTGGCCCAGCAGTTCTGGAACCACACCTGCTAGGAAAGAAGAAGGGGTCTAGTCTGGCCCCAGCATCCCATCCAGCCAGGGAGAGGGGAAACAACCTGAAGGCAGGCTACCCAGCAAAGGGGCTGTGGGCCAAGCCCGGAAGTTGGCTGTATGAGAAGTCGTCACAGCTCATCTGTATCTTGGCCTCAGGAAGATGAGTGACCCAGGCCAGGTGCTCACAGGTGCTGATGTCAGGGTAGGGCCATGCTGCAAACACCCTCTCCACCTCCAGCAGTTGCCCTTTGCTGAAGGCGGTCCTCTTTCTCTGGTGGGGACCCAACCTGCTGGCACCACCTGCAGGCCACGGTAGAGGATCAAACCAGGATCAAGCCGGATTCCCTGCAAGAGCCTCCACCCAGCCTCAAAACCCTCAACTAACCCCGAAGTCCCTACTCCCACCCCTCTTCAACCTTCCCTCATCCCACCATGCCCCACGTCCTCACACTGCTCACACTTCCCCCATCAGATCACCTGCTGGGGATGCATCCATAGGGCTGGCCATGGAGCTGGCAGAGAGTAAGGAGCCAGAGGGCCATGCCAGGGCAGTGCCCACACCAGACCCCTCCATTTGGGTTGTATCCTGCTCAGGGTGGCTGGCCCTGCCTCCAGGAGGGGAGAAGTTCAAGTAAGGCAGAAAAGTTTCAGGGGAAAGAAGGGAGGCCAGAGGCCGAGTTGGGCTTATGAGGGTACAGGTGGGGCAAATTGTGTAGCCCCTGGCCCCTGCCCCTCCAGGGCCTCACAAAGGAAACTGGACCCAGCCTCCCTCCTCAAACCTCAAACTCTGGCAGTCTGTACCTGAAATAGTATACTTCATGAATATCCTCCTTCCAGGAAGCCAAAGAAAACCATCTCTCCAGTTCTCCCAGGGCACTGGCTGCCCCTTCTGGAGCCCTCAGTGCTCTGGACCTGACTACCTTCAGGGGAGAGGGGATGGAGTCCTCTCCCACAATTGCAGACTGAGCTGGTGAAGTGGGCCAGGATGAGAAGGATGGTGGAGTGACAACGGGATGAGTGGGAGCCACCTGCTTTCAGCAGGACTGGGCAACAGATGTCACCACCAGATTGCCCTCAGGTCTGCTTTAGAGCTTTGCCCGCATCTAACCCTTTCTCCCTCTGGCCCCTCAAGAGCCAGATGGACTTCCTGGGGTTCTGAACCTGGAACCAGAAGAGATTCCACAGATGCACTTGAGGGGTTCTAAGAAAGATGATAAAGATGTTTATTTGTACAGTATTCTCTTCCTTGGACATCTTCTGAGCCACTTTTTCTTTTCTAATTTTGAAATTTTTTTAATTTTATTTTTCTCTGTCACCCAGGCTGGAGTGCAGTGGTGTGATATCTGCTCACTGCAGCCTCAACCTCCCAAGCTCAAGCGATCCTCCCACCTCAACCTCCTAAGTAACTGGGACTGCAGGCACGCACCACGATGCCCAGCTAACTTATTTTTTGTAGTTATTGTGTTTTGCTGTGTTGCCCAGGTTGGTGTCAAACTTCTGGGCTGGAGTGATCCTTGTCTCTTGGCTTTCTGGGATTCTGTGATTAGAGGTATTCTCTGTTTTGTCGGTGTACCTGTTTGTGCCTTTTTTGGTGTGTGTTTTGTTGTGCTTTTTGTTCCGGATTTTCTTTCTGCTGCCTTTGTTGGCGTGGCATGGCAGGGTCATATTTCACTGCAGGTTCTACCTCGTGGGTCCCTGGGCTATTTTTCTTTGAGACGTGTGTGCTTTTGGATTTTCCTTCGGTTTCTGCGGTTTGCTATGTCTGCTGGTCTTGTTGGGGCCGCTCGCGGGCCCTGTCCCGTTACTTCCAGAGGGGCTCCTCTTAGGTTTGGGTTTGGTGTCTCAGCGTGACTGGTTCCCGCCGTGCTCGGGTGGGTGCGCTTCTTTGATTTCCTTTCAGCATGGACCTTTCAGCTGAGCTTTTTCTCCCCAGCCTATTTCCGGTTCTTTCTCGTCGGAGACCTTAGTTTTTTTGTGAGGGCGCAGGTACTCTGAGCTTTGGTGGGTAGCCTGGTTGCTTTGTCATCGTTTGTGGGGGTCCCGTTCCTTCTTGGTTGGTGTAACTTCTTTCTTCTTTTGCTGCTCTTTACTTTTTGGTATATTTTTTGAACGTCTTGTAGTGTTTGTTTCTTTTCATGGGCTAATGGACCAGCTAGCCTGCTATGGTCGTATTGCAGTCTTATATTTTCTTATTTTTTTTTTATTTCTATTTTTTAATTCTCTCAATCCCCCGATCCAGCGACACCCCCTCGGTCTGTTGGTTTGCTGCCTCTCTCCCCTTCTCGGATGCACGGATATTCAAAGCCTCGGGATGGAGAGATGTTTACCGATTTACTGGCGAGCTGGAGTGCATAAATAAATAAATAAATAGGCGGGGTTTCCA